CCAACCTTAGGTTGAATTTTGCAAACCATTTCCGTGCTGTCGACTCACCTATGACACCTTCTCCGTATACATTGCAAATATCCCGGTCTGTTTCAGCAACTTTTCACAACTTTTTGGCCGCGATGGAAAGCGAAGAAGGGCAGATGTCGAAAATGCTGCTTCTTACCTTCTTGATATTCCATTTCTGAGCCTCAATAGTAATGACGAATGAATCTACTGACAAAAACGATTAACACAGATTTGTAGAGCAGAAAGAGCTCTATCGAATGAATATTATAACCTCTTGCAAATTGTAAAATGTCGCTGTAAAAAAAAGAAAATGTAAAAACGCTACGAACTTATTCCCCAACCTAATAATTCCAATATTTTTTAATTTTTCGTTCGAGACATGTGAGCATGTTTTGAAATTATTATTTAAAGCTAAATAACATTATATGTTGCATCTTTATTATCAAATATTTTTACATTCACGAGATGAACGAAATGATTTTTTATCGAATAAAAATTCTTTCTTGTTCTGCTTCGCTTTTCTCATAAAAATAATATTTTTTTCTCCTTATTTATAATATTATTCGCTCTACAAACGAGTATATACTTGCCATTGCTTAATTTTAAATAAAGGATTTTTAAAACAAAATTCCATAATTAACTGGTTAACACGGTGCCTAACAGGTTAATTATAAGTTTTTAAGAAAAACTGTTGCAGTAATGAAAGGGTTAATTAGTTTTCCGTGAATTGGAAGGCGAAGCGACAAGACAGTAAGATATATCATACATCGATACCGAATGACTGGAGGGCTTGTTTCAGAGACCTATTTTCACTCTCCAGCTGAAGCCGTTCCATTCGCCACTTCTTCATTTGACACTTCATTACGCGGAGTTTCCTTACAGCAAATGAAAGGTCGTATATCTCTGATTCCTTGGAATCGTCGCTGAAAGGATTGTAAATGCAGCAACAGCACGCTTCGTTCGGTGGATTAATCGATTCTTGCGATGACAATGTATTGCATCCGCATCGACAAAGTGACAATGCATCGTGTGGCTCCATTTCCTGCACAGTTCTGTAACAGTATTTGTTTTGTTTCGTAACATTTTCTATAAAAATGTTCTACAAAAATGTCCTGGAAAAATGTTTTATAGAAATGTTTCCTAAAAATATTCTATAAAAATGTTCTATAAAGATGTTTCGTAAAAATTGTCTGTAATATTTAGTTTTTATTAAAATTTTGTACTGATAAGTTATAATGATAAACGAAATAATCGTCGAGCAAGTAATAAGTTATTTTGAAATAAAAGTTTCTTTTATGCCATCAACCTTCTGCGTGTATACAAATATTTTAACGTTATCTGAAAACATATTACACATTTTCAGTGCAAATTGTGAAATAGTAATTTTGATTGCGTAGTTTGTAGTGTTTGAAGTATTTGTATTGTTTATTGTTTACTGATTTTTAAGAGGACAGATAGAAAAAATTAAAAAAATGAATTTAAAATACTTGTTTTATGTTTATTTGCAGCTCGTGAAGGGAAGCTTACGGTACTAACAAAAATTACGTGCACATATAACGTAGAAAGTGTAATATTTTTCAATTAAAAGGTACGATATGTCAGATAATATAAAAATATTGGATAAAGATGAAAATTGAATTAGGTATCGTAAAACTAAAATTTGGAAAAATTTTTATAAAAGATTAGTAATTGTACATACATGATATGCAGTAATTTTTTTACATGGATAATTATAAATATTCGAATAAAAAGTATGAATATTCCAGACAATATTAATAATTATCACTTTCATCAATTGGATATTGATTTTCTTAGTTATCTACCAGATTATAAGGTTATGCAAGTTTAATTATTTCATACTTAGTTTCTTCTGTTCACTTTACCGAATCACCGATGTAAGTAAATTATGGTAAACCGATTACAGTCAGTTCAGCGCACATAAGCGCAAAACTATTTCCAGCTACCAATAAAATATGAAATATTTAGCCAAAATATATGAGGTTGGAATAATGCATTTCACTGCGGCAGTCATACTTTTAATGCCACGTTGTTGTGGTATTAATGAAGATCAATATACTGATTTAACGTCAGACTGGTCTGTTTATTTGGTAGCGTAATACCGCAATAAATTTATTCAAACTTCAGTGTTGCATATACTAACTAAATTTTGCTTAATCTATTAGGATATAATGCATTAAACGGAAGATTCTGAAGTAAACAAAGTTTGATATAATTTTATATTACAAAATTGCATTTATGGCATATTAATTTGAAGCTTAAAATTCAACGATTAGTACGTAAACACTACATCGATATATACATAAAACAGAATGGAAAAGGCAGATATAATTATAGTAAATAATATTGGATTCTGTAGTATATAAAATTTTGCATATTTTTATATTTCTTTGAAGTTTGTAGTTTGTGAAAATTATTTATTAATTTCTTCAATACAAACTAGGTAGATGATGAAAATTATGTTATCGATTATTGTGTAATATCTATATTATGTACCTACGTATTAGTATAATAAGAGAGCTGTTCCTTAATCAACTATTATATGTGTATTATACATATTGTTTCAAAGTTTGTATTAAAATCATTAATAAAATGTTTACGAAGCTACTTTTTACAAACATCGTGCACTAATTTATGATATTTCTATGAATATTAACAAATCACGTTCAATTTAGTTTGTTACGGAATGAGTCACTGGTTGTTGTAATAAGTTACTTTGTAAATTTGTACATTTTCAAATATATTAATTTTCAACTTTGCAAATTTCCGAATATCCAAATTCTTGTATTCTTAAAACTACAAATTCCCAACAATTCAGATTTCCAAATTTATAAACCACCAAATTTCTAAATTTACGAATATCGAACCATATAAACTTTCAAATTTCCAAATTTTTACATAACTAAAAACCATAAGTTCTCAAACTTAAAAACTGCAAAATTTCTCATTTCTGAATTTCCAGTTATTTAAATTTCCAAATTATCTACGTTATAAATTTCCAAGTATCCAAATTTTTATCTTTTTAAATGACCGAAGATTTATTGCGGTGGAATCGAAAAATTGAAGAATCGAAGAATCGAAAAATTGAAGAATTTAAGGCAGATCGATATAGTAACTATTTTCAATAGCTTCCTTTTGAAATATGCCATGTTCAAAACATAATATAGTCATTACATTTTAATACATTTTTAAATGTGAAATTTTTACAAAAAGGAGCAAACAAAATTTTATATGGAGTTTTACTTGCTTTAAACTGAATTATATTGTAGCTTTTTAATTCGTGTTTGTTATCAATTATTCAAATTTTTTTACGAATTTCTGCAAATTTTATAATAACTGCAAGATTAGCATAGCATGTACACTGCTCAAAAGAAATATGGCATAGAAAAATTTTAGGCAAAAATTGGCCAAATTTGAGTAAAGATAACTCTGTGAAAAATGATCATAAAATTATGCGCTTTTTTTTAAATTAAAGCTTAAATTTTTTTTAAATTTTTAAATTTTAAGACTGTAGTTCGATTTTAGATTTGATGCATTCCTACCACAATAACCCCGTAAATGCGAGGTCATGTTTACTATATTGAAAATTACAAAGTTTGACGAAATGCATGCACTTGCCACATTTTTTTTAGTGATACTGTTTACAGGAGCATAAAGTACAAACCTTTATCTTTAATTTCCAGTATGTGACAAACCGCTACCAATTTTTTTCGCAAAGTTACAGCACTTTAAAGAAACCCTTCGGAGCACTTTTCACTTATGTTTCCACTTTTCCAATAACTCACTTCTACTCGATATTTCTTTCATGAATTTTGGGCGCAAAAGAAATACAATCAACAACTTGTTAGAACAAGTATCTCTAGATAAAGATTCGAATAACAAGTACTACTTTAGCTTATTGAGCAACTGCAATTTATCAGGTACACGCCCAAATCGACAATTTATCATGTGATGGTAATCGAAAAAAATGAAAACTGTTATTTCAATACAGAGTCGAACTGGTCAGATAAGAAATTTAGTCAATTCAATAATAAGAGTCATTTGATTATTTAAAATTTCCCAAGCAGTCAAAATGATTACTTGTGGGCAATGTAGGTATAACACATATACAGGGTGTATAAAAAAGGTCGAGACCCTTGAATATATCGAAAAATATAAGATTTATCAAAAAATGTTTCAGACAAAAGTTGTAGGGTTTAAAAAGTTCTATTTACTGGCAATATCATTTTGACCTTGAAGAGTCACTGGAAGGTCACGTGAAGGTCACTTCAATTTTTTTGAATGGAAAACCTTATATATTTTTGCATATTCTTGTAGCTTACCTCGAGAGCTTTCTAAAACACTATGATAAAGTATTTTTTGATTAAAAACTTTTTGAGTTATTAAGGTTTGAAATTTCCAATAATTTTGACAAATTACAAAATATCTTACAAAATATTCATTTTTCAATAATCTTACCCTAATACTTTTATGCACAGAATAATGAGATAAATTGACTGGGGCAAAGAAAATACACAATTGTTTAAAAAAAATTGTTTGAAAATTTATTTCAAACAATTTTTTTTGACCTTCACGTGACCTTCCAGTGACTCTTCAAGGTCAAAATGATATTGCCAGTAAATAGAACTTTTTAAACCCTACAACTTTTGTCTGAAACATTTTTTGATAAAACTTGTGTTGTACAAAAAGTCACAAAATTCTAAGAAATTGTATCATTATATACATAATTATTTTTCTAATTGAAATTAAAAAGCAGTCAAAATAACTTCCTTGGGCAATCTAGTGTTAATGAATTTATTTCTTGCCAAGTATTTAAGTCTTTAATATTAATAATTAATTGTATAATACGTTCATTAGCACTTTAATATAAAAGTATGAATCAACGACGTCTACAAATAGCATCTAATATTGGTTAAAACTTAAACAATGAATAGAAAACTGTTCATTCGTTTTTCCATTTAAACGATGGGCTAATGACCATGGCAGTCGATGCCCATAACACTAATCATCATCATCATCCATTTAAACGATTGCCATAATTGAATCGCTATTGGCGAACTCTCGTTGGAAACGTTTTATTGGGAATTCTGATTTTAACGAAGTTGTACCACTATATTGAAGTCATCGAAAGCTTTGATAAGCATCTCAGTTCAATTATAGTTGATAAGTTATTAAGAGTACATTCCCTCAATTAAATCTTCACACTATGTTGGTTGCAAATAAGGGCATAACTTGTTATTTAGTTTCAGCTACATGTACTCTAAACATGTCGAGAAAACTTTATTTAATAGTAAGTACATAGGATAGAATAATATTTTATACACGAAATAAAAATTGCGTAAACGTACAAAAACGTTTAATTTCAGTTTATAACTTTAGGAATTAAAGAAATCTTGATTAGTACTTCTATTTTTATAAAATACATCTGACTAAATATTTTCACAATATTTTGTTGTATCTATAAGTCATAATTTCAATTACAACAATCTATGTTGTGCGATTATTAGAAAGAGAGTGAAATAAATTAAGAGTTCATTGACCCTGCCAGGATATCAGCTTTTGGTGCTGTGATCGGTGGATTTATCCAGTGACATAAATATTTTTCATCGAAGCTGCTTCACGGATCAATAGGTACGTTTTATTTATGTAGTTTGTGCATTTTGAAAATTAAACGTACGTCGGAATTGATTTATTTCATTTGAGTGAGTTACTAAATTAGATATTCTATTCCAGTTCTATCTCATTGCATAGACAAGGTACTCATAGGTTTTGAAACGTGAATTCATTCATTTGCTTCATTAGAGTAGTTGACAAAATTAATTTTCGTAAATTTATTTCTTATTTCTTTTGGAAAGCATAAATAAATACCATTCACCAGTCTAGTAACATTCATAGATAACATTCATTAGTCTAGATAAACAAGTAATTCGTTTTTCTTCTATTTAAGAATAATTAAGAACTGAATATTATTCTTTACTTTCACCTAATAGCTTCTTGTTATACCGACGCGGCATCGATACGCTTGTGTATGATCGCAATCGGCCGTCATACTCGAAGCTCTTGCTTACGCTGTCAAGTGCCTAGATCTCAAGAGCTATTATTGATCAGTATTTTTTGCTAAGAATTCGAAAATAAAGCCTCAACCAATATTTTGGTAAAGGAAAAAGTTGTGTAGAATCGTCTTGTCTACCACCTTTTTTCGGGTCTTACACCACTTCTGGAACACCGTGTATACATTTGTTTTCAAGATACTTCATGAAGGAAAAACAAAAACAGTGATGAACGTATGACAGCACGAAAGTTCTGTCAAGTACACATTGGCGTTCTAACCATAAATACTAACCTTCAGTTAGCAACCTAAGTTGCTTAGGAAAATTGTGAACTGCTCACTTCGTAAAAATGTAAAATTTCTTCAAAGTAATATCAAATTTGCAAAAGGAGAAGAAAATTTAATGTTAAAATGCAAACGTCCTGAACGTAACTCAATTTTTTCTGGTATATTTACAGTGTAATTTCATAAGTCACAATAACCATGTAATAAATATCTGTTCACTGTTGATTTTGAGGTATACCATTTGAAAAATATTATTATACTAAACTTACTTGTTTATTTATTCATTAATAATATTTTATTCATTTGCTTATTTTTCCCATATATACATATAAGCTGTAGTTTATGATACCATGTAGTTCAAGGTCAATTCTTAAAGAATCAACACTTCTAAATACTTGATGTATATTTTAAAATGACTAGTGTTGAAGAAAAAAATCGCACCCATTAAGATAGCAAATGAATCAGAATTATGAATGAGAAATATAAATGAGTCCGATAATATTGTAAATGTTATATTAAAATTTATCATAAATATAATGAACTGTAATAGAATGACTATTAAATAATTTTACATTTAGAGGTTCACTAATTTCAAAATTTCTTAATTCCAAAGCCTCCAATTCTGAAAAATCTAATTTTCTAACCATTAAAATTTTTTAATTTCTACATTTTGAAATTTCTATGTTTCTAAATTACTGAGTTTCTGAATTTTTGAGGTCATACATATCTGAATTTCTAAATTTCTAACTTCTAACATTTCTAAATTTCTAAGCTGTTCAAATGTTTGAAATAATTTAAAATATATTAACCTTAGGCGGTCTGTTACGTCCTTTTTTGTTTTCTTTCCCCTTAGTTTTGCGTATATAATATGTGGGTAAAGTTGTCCGATAAAACACTGAGACACTCTCAAATTAATAAATAACAAAAATTCATACAGTGGCTACAAATGTTAACCTATTTTAATAATAATTGACCTTATTTTTAAATAAATTAACTAAGATTAATATTTTCAGTATCCACAACGCAACCTCCTAAAAATTTACCAGTTTCTGCAATTTGTGTCTGACAATTTTCCAATACATTGTAAAACTTGGATACTTTTACGGGAAATTAATTAAAACGACATTCTCGGTTCTACTTGCGGTTCAATTTTCGGAAATTACGCTGTAATGGACGCATATCTTGACAATTGCCTATCGATCAACGAAAATGACGATGGGTACAAAGAGAAGACGAGAATAGCGGAAGTCGCGGCTGCCACATTGTGCAGACTGAATAGCATAATGAGGCAAATGAAGGACTGGCGTGACGATCGCGTAAAGCTGAGATCTAACATTTGGCGACTAAAGCTGGCTCTGCGAGTCGCTGGTAAAGAAACAACCGATACCCTGCACGCTGACCCATTGATCGAACATCAAAGAGGGGAAATCAAACGGCTGGAGGCGGATAATCAGGCTCTGAAGAAGGAAATTGCCGATATTAAAGCAGCCATTGTCGACGCGGATTATATTAGCGACGAAACCGCTTACAAATCCGACGAAAAGTTTAGCGAAGTTAAACAGGAGTATCTCATGGAACGGGAATATTTAAACAACGAGATTCTGTATCTGAAAAGTAGATTGAAAGAGGTCGAAGACGGACACGAACATGATACAGAAGTTGAACACTTGAAATGTAAATTAAAGCACTTCATGATGGTCGATCACACGATGGAAATTATATTTACCGACATAGTTAACAAAGTTGCCGAGACTATTGCTAATTTGTCCGAGGAATTGGTAAACACGAACGAGCACTTGAACAGATCGAAATTAAAAAATAATCGTCTGTATGTAAAAGTTGACCGATTGAATGCAATGCTGCGCTCCAGGAGCGGTAACATCGTGGATTACCAGAAAAGAATTGTCGAATTAAATAATCTGACAAAATGTTTGAAAACGGAACTAGGTAAATTGAAAACTAATTTTGAACATGATTCTTGGTCTGCGGACTCTACTCCTGAAGGTAATCTGGATAACGTGGAACGATTGACAAACGATTTGAAGAACAAATTAAAAAACGATTATGCAGCTCTGCTCGGAGCAGGTGATTTGAATTGTTGGAAATATTTTCAGACAATTTTCGAACTACGCGTAAACTTGAAACAACTGCACGTTCAATTGACCAAGTTGAAAGCTGATTTTTCTTCTCGATATGAAAACTTGGTTGAGTCTTCTAAACATATGAAACAATTGTCTGCTGTAGAATCTACCTTGAAAGACATTAACATTGAGTTCGATCGTTTGAAAGATGAACATGTAAGGAAGTATTGTAGAATCGGTGGTGCCGATGGTATACAATATTTAAGGAAAATAGAAGATCTTCAAACGATCATTGAACAGATAAGAAGGACGATCAACGAATTGAATCACCGTACGAAATTCAATTCGGACGAAGGAAAGGAAATTGTGAAATTGGACGACTTCGTTGGTCGAGTGTGTCAGGAAATCAAACAGTTGGAAGTGATTGTCATATCTAGCGATCGTTCTGCTTTGCTGAAAAAGATCGAGCATCTAGAGGAGTCGATTGTACGATTAAAAGTCGAGTTGAGCGAAAAAGCCGAACGAGTAAATACGTTAGCTACGGAGTTGTTCAACGTCGAGACGTTGACTGAAGAAAGAACGAAGGAAGCGACGGATGCGAAAAGAAAAGTGGATGTATTAACGGAAGAAAATAAAATTTTAAAAACGAAAATAAGAGATATGGAAGAAAAAGCATTGGAACTTGAGCGTGAACACGAGGATGTTAGGAAAGAGTTTGAACAACTGCAACAGGTGAAGCACGACACAAATATAACTAAAAAGAAATTGCAAAACATTCGGACTGAAAAGGAAAAGTTGTTGAAGGAAAATGAGGAATTGTGTGATGCACTTGAGAAAAGAAATGAAAAGATTAATGTTATGGCTACTGAAAAACTCTCGGTGGAGAAAGCATTAAAGACAAGGATTACGGATCTTACAAAGAATTTTCAAACAGCTTCGAAGGAGAACGAAAGATTGCAAAACAAAGTGAACGAACTTGAACAACTGAGGAGCAAACAACATTCGCAAGAAATGTCAGAGAACACCGAGAATGAACTGCTGCGACTGAGATCGAGCTTACAAGCATCGAAAGAAGCTCGAGATATCGCGGGTCGTGAAATCGCCGAACTAAAAGCTAGATTGGACCATTTTTCCAACGACAGGGCAAAGTTGGAAATGGACGTTTGTCACTTAGAATCGAAGAAAGAAATACTTGTCTATGAACTAGGCGTTGAAAAAGCAATTGCCGAGGAAAGGCTTGTAGAACTGACGAAATTAAAATCAGACTATAATCGATTGAACAACGAAAGAATCGATTTGAAGAAAGAAAAGGAACGATTGAACGTAGATTTGTCAATTTTGGCAGCTACGAAGGAACAGTTGGAAAAGTCCGTGGAAAACGTTGAAATCAGATGCTCGAAACTTGAAGATGAAACCGATAAATATAGATCAGAGTGCAGTGTTCTACGAGAGGAAGTAAAAAGCTTCAAGACCGGTAAAGAAAATCTGGCTATCAAGTTGGAAAAGGCTGAAGCAGAGCTGAACGAAGGCGAATATAAAATAAGACGTTTGGAATTCGAAATTTCGAAGCTTCAGGACAATTTGAACGACTTAAGTTTGAAGAATATCAGCCTTGAAGATCGTGTGCAAGTGCTTCTGACGGAAAAGAATGACCTCGTGACGCGTATTAATGAACTGGATGGAAAGAACGTCGAGCTGAAAGATCAGCTGAATAAAGTTAAAACGGAGAACGAATATTCCTCCGTCGAATTGAATAAATTGAGAGCGGAATGTGACAGAGCGAAATCGGAGAATGCGTCCCTGCAGAATATGCTCGACGAGTCGAATAGAAGCAACCAAGTGCTGAAGAAAATGAGTGAGGAACTAAAACTAAAATTGAACGAGGTCTACAGCGAGTGCAGGATACTCGAAAATCAGCTGAAAATCTTGGAGATCGGAAACACCGCGTTGAAAAGAGAAAAGGAAGCGTTGCAACACGAATACATGAACAGCCTACGATTAAATATTCCTGAAATCCAAAACGCAGATTCCAAAGCGGATAGCGAAAAGATATTGGATGAATGCGACGAGCAGGATGTCGATCGTTCAGGGAAGAAAATTGTCAATGAAACGAAGAAAAGTAATAAAAAGTCTGACAAACGTACAAACGGTAAAATGAAATCGAAGGAGGAGTTGAAACGGGCATTGGTAGAAAACGAAGCGTTGAAATTTGAAATAATGAATTTAAGGGAGCAGAATTTCGAAGTCAAAATGGAGATGAGTCGCACGAAAGATGAACTGCAAAGACAGAAATCGAAAAGCATGAATGACAATAATGTATCGAATAAACTAGAAATAGTGAATCTTTATTATAAAGAGATCAATAGTTATTCAGGGCAGCAATTTGGTAAAATGGACACATTGGCACACATCAATCAGTCGGGTGTTTGTCCTTTCATAGGATCGACGATTGATCTACAATCCGGAACTGAAATCGATAAATTACTGGAAGTAATAAACAAATTGCAAATCGAGAACGTTGCATTGAAGATGGAAGTAAACACTTTAAGATGTAGCTTCGTCATGAATGTTACAGAGGACGAAAAGAGGTGGAACAAACTCCGAAATACACGGGAAGAAATTGGAGCACTGAAGGTAGAATTGACGAAACTGAGAGACGAAAAGGAGTCTTTGCAGAATCGGCTGGATGCAGTTAGAACGAAATTGGATCAGGCGGAATCTGAGAAGACCGCTTTGAAGAATGAGCTTTATGCCTTAAGGAAAACGAATTCAGACTTTATGCGTAAAGCAGATGAATTACAGTGCGATTATCAAAAGCTGAAGGGGATACGCGAAGGACTTGACAGCTGCATAATGGAATCGATTAAAAAGATTAAAAAATATACGACTTCAGGAAATGTTGAAGAGATAGACGAACAATTGAAAGTTTTCTTGGAGTCATATATTTTAAATGGGAAATTTATACAATTAATTAAGGAATGAGGAATGAATGTGGAAAAAACTTAGATGAATTTTATATTTTGTAATGTGGCAAATTTAATTTAAATATAAAATAAAACTATAATGGCAGACATTTTTGGACTATGGAATTTTGAGCGATTCAAGTTTTATCATGCATGTATTATTCTATTAATTATTTAAGATTCAAGGTCAGGAAGTTTAATGACAAAGACTCAGGTATGACCTCATGTGGTGAGTTGCAGAAGTTCTATCGACCTTTGTCTATCTAATGTTTTTGGCTAGGAGATACAAGGATAGCAGATAAAAATGTTTCAAAAATGTGGCAAACACGACTTCATATTTTAGAAATTTTTAAGCTAAAATCCAACATTTTGTCATACTTTTTTTTTTAGAGATAGTTTTTAGACTGTACTTAAAAGAGTTGTATAAAGCCGGATTTTGCGATTTCGCTCTGAAAGCTTTCCAACGAACAAAAAATACGTTAACATTTTTTTTAAAAAGTATATATATATATTTAATTCTATAAATTATAACAATGAATTAAATTAACGATGCAGCAAATGTAAATATAAATCTTACATAATCTAAATAAATTATAAAATAAAATTTTCTACAATTACAACTATAAAATTATTAAGTCATTTATTGTTATAAAATATATTAAAATAAATACGAATTTTAAAACAAATATAAAATAAAATACATATAATTAAAATTGCATTTTATTAAATAAAAGTAAAAATATTATACAACTATTTAATGACTTCTGATAAATAGGTTTTTGGAACATAATTTAGAAAATAAAATAGTAAATAAATGTATACTGATTATCGTGTGACGAAAAGAATTTTTATTTCGTTGAAAAGTAACAAAGTTGTAACACTTTGAAATAAAAAGGTTATCTTGTAAGGAAGTGATCCTTTACATCGAGGATTTGATGAGTGTACATTTTGAAAACTTCAGAAGTTCTAATTACACGATCTTCTTTGCCGAGGGAGGATTCAAGCATAAATTTTAATAAGTAAGATATGTTGTAGAATACTTAACTATTTGGACTTGTTATAACTATGTCAATATGATTCTGCGATGCTTTCAAGTTTATGAAAAGAGCTCGAAAGAATGTACTAAGTTTTATTATGCGAACTTCAAGGTCCAGTTGATTTAATTACTAATTTCGAGGAGTTTCCCTTTAAGCATTTCGAACACCGTTCTCGTGCAATATAAATGAAGCACCTTAATAAATATTTATAAAAGACAGATATTTACCGGTTGCTGTACTTGTCGAAAAACAAACGAATCAAGCAGTCGTGTTAAATATTTACCGAAGAAACGAACGAAGGGAAATTAAAGTAAAATTTTCGGTACTAATCAAATTCTCTGGGTTGTCCTTTATACACTGCACACTTTTGTACATGTTCAAATCTGTGCAAGTGTTTATTGTTAATTCGATGAAAGATATTAATCATTTTAAGTCATTCTTTAAATGAACTGAAAATAGATAAATCAGCAACAAGTATTTAGATACATAAGTCTAAGTTTACTACCTTATTTTCTAAAAATATAAAAATATAGAGTAGATGTACTAATTAGAGAGTCTACTACAATTATGGAGCTTTTGCATTAAAATTATTGATAAAAATATGTAAATAAACGTAAACAAAATTTTGGAAGCTAAATATAAGTCTTAACAAATAGGATTCAAAATAAAGATGATAATACTGATATATTCTAATTCTGTTTATCAAAGAATGCGTATAATACTTTTGATGATTTTGATAGTTGAGCAGTTTATTTTGAAAGTGGGGTACAATTAAAAATTTTAGAGGTTTTAACAAATTTCAAAATATTGATAACGGATCATATGGTAGTACAATGTTTTGCGTTTCTAAATGTATATGTATAATTTACCACGCCAATTGACGTAATTAACATTGTTTAAGAAATAATAGTTTTAATCATAAATAAATTTAATGGGATTAATTTTATAAATGGCCTAAATGCATTTTCAAAATTAACGAAACAACTTCTACAAATTCTATAATGGTATAAACATGGAAAAAAATAAATTTTTCTCAAAATAAAAAAGATATACATAAAATTTTATGTTATAAAATATACACTTGACTATTTTTCTTTTATTTAATATTAAAGAGTGTTATATTCAAATTAATATTATTTTGTAATTTGTAATTCACTCTTCTCTAATTTTAATGTTACAATTAATGTTTTTGCATATTATCGTCAACAGAATATTCTTAAGCACATTCTGCATTCAGCCCGGATACCATCATCAGTTTTTATCACATTTATTACTTTTTTACTGACTTGATAGTGTTAATATGTTATATTAAATTCATATATTCAATGGAATTATTATTATTCAAGAAATTATGGTCTAAGTTAATCGAACAGTACTGTTAATAATAAAACATAAATCTCTTATCTCAAAAAGTTTTACTACATAACATATTTCATATCCGTTAGAAACTCTTAAAATGGCACGTAAGCCACTTTCAAAACAAAGATTTTAATCATTCGATTAATCAGTTAACTTTCACTTCACAAAATCTTAGTGATTTCAAATATATTAATTATAACTTGATTCAAAACGAAAATACAACATAAAAGTGTGAATATTATAATAAATTTGATTTTTTTTGGTAAAAGGACTTTGGTCATTTTCGAAATAGACGATTGAGTTAAGTTACTTAATTATAAATTACTTAAGTTCTCATTCAAAACCTTAAGAAATACCTCATGAACTGTTTCATAAATTAATTGTAAGCTGTCTTTGTTAACGCTCGTGGTTGAAATCAATTTGTTCGAGCTTTGTTGAATATTGCACGTGACGTGCCGACTAAATTCATTGTTACTAAGATATGCTATAACTATTTCCTCACTCTAAGAACCATTCCAAATTTGTGAACTATACTAACTATGACAATTTGTTACTATATACTATGAAAGTTAAGAGTCGAATGTGAATTTTCTCACACAATGAAAGCACGATGTACGCATACAATATTACAAAATAAGGATGAGGAATACAGTTTCTGATTTCTATTGGCTATTTAAACTGGAGTGAAAATGGAAGTCGTATGATAGGCCCGGTTTTCCGCCAACAAAATGACTGTAGCAAGTAATAAACCCAAGCAGTACCTCGACATGAATCGAAACTGCAAATAACCGACTCTACTTGCCAAAATGAAGGTATCTAACAACCAAATGTAAATAGCAATAAACTCTAAATACTCGATAGAATGCAACGATTCGTTGGGTGTTATTGCTGTTACAGGTAAAGAAACTAATCGAAGGTGTAATCTCTCGCTGTCGTATTACATTCTAAAACTTAATAGCGGGTCTTCATATAAAAAGTATATTACAGTATTGATTCGTAATAAGCCACTCGCTCGGGTCTGGCCGGTTGCTTGTTACGAATCCGATACATTATTCCATTCACGAAATTTTACTACTATTAAAAAGGGAAAGCATGCTATGTTCTGTCCTTGTCTAAAGAATAACATCGCTGCTCGACTGATTACTTTATAGTTTACCGCTACCGTCGCGTCGTCGCGCTCGGGAACAAAGGCAAGCCGAAAATATACCTGATTCGTAACAAGCAACTCGCCAGACCCGAGCGAGTTGCTTATTACGAATCAATGTAGGATTAGATGAATGAACGACAGAATCGCTATCCATCAGAGTAAGAAAACAATATATATGTTCTGTCCTCTTTCCACTAAACTGTTCGGTCGACCGTGAAAATTTATGACTTCTTCGGTTTCGCGGACTTCTCACTCTTTCTCGGATCTCTTACTCAGCGACCGACTTCAAATAAAGAAGAGGGGATAGAAATTTGCTTGTTACGAATCACAAAACTGTTGTTTGTTACGAATCAATACTGTATATCGTAAAATGGCTTAGTATATTAAGAAGAGAATATATTCAGTGCTTACAAACTTTTTATTTCTATTCGCGAGTAAACTTTAAATGCAGATATTTGCCACAATCTCAAAGTCGTTCAAACTCTACTAGTGAAGCGTGTGTCGTGCGTCATGACTGAAATACTTGTATTTTATTTTTATTAAATTATTTATCACAAAAGGACAGTGTTTGGAATAAATTGGTCATATTGACAAAAGCCAGGTTAGAGAGTGATATTCACAGACACCGAATTATAATAAGGAGCACTGAAACATAGACTCTGAAATTGAAGACGCCGAAATACATCTGCAACTGAAATGACTGCGTAATATAGAGAAAAACATCTGCTTTTATTTTATTAAATAATTTATTTTATTTTATTTTATTAAATGCATTTAAATGAAAACTTAATTTCTTTTACAAAAAATAATTCTTTCTAAAAGAGAATTATTTAATAACAGATATTGATTTTGGGAATGTGATATTCATACAACAATACTTTTTAATTAATATGAGTTTATGCAAACTGGTTTGAATTCTCCACAATATATTTAATTCAACACAAAAAAATCATATAGTTAACAGCATTTTTAGATTTTAAATAATGGTATTATTGATTGGGTAATTACAGCTGTCGATTAAACACTTAAATAGTTAAACGCGTAACAATATTATTGGCGTATCGCGGTCAATTTAAAAAGTATGAAAGTATCGATTTTCAATAAAATGACAAGCGATCGATTATAACGTAGTAGTTTTTATTGTAAAATCCATTGATATTCCCAGCTTCACATTCATATGTAGAATAATCCGATTGAATCTGAAGCAAATCGGATCAATAATGTCCAAGATATTTCTGCTATCAGTTCGAAAAATATCGTTTCGAGAAAAACGCGTTTTAAGACATTTCAGCTTATAAAAGGTATAATTGTTATTAGTTTATAACAGCATTCTCGAAGACGGCTCGCTATAAGTTTCTGAAAATGTATGACACCGGGCCGCGAAAGCCTCAAATCTCGTTTCATATACTGCTTTCTAATAATTGTAGAATTACTGTTACAATTTGTGCCTATTAATCCCGCACATGTTTCAATGTG